GAGGCTGCTCCTGAGGCCCATGATGTGACCCTGGGGGCACCAGCTCTCCATGAGGCTCTCCATGGGGTTACGGCTTATCACCCCGACCCTGCTGCGGGCAACACGTCCCCCCCAAAGACGGAGAAGAAGAGACAAGCAAAGGCGGGCTGGTGAGCTAAACGCGTAGTAGGTGAAACCTGCCTATTATCTGGGGACAGTGATCCTTCCGATGACGCCATGTGATAGGGGGATGGTGAGAACCTGTTATCGGGTCGAAACTCTTTATCATACGCCATCATGTTCCACTCCAGGCGCCGGTTGCGGGCTTTCCTCACTTTTTTCACCTCCCGGGTGGAGTCCTCCACCAGCCGCTGCTCCTGAGGGCACACACAAGCCACGGCTCCATCTCCAGCCCGGCTCTGCCGGCCCATGAGCGGTACCCAGGGAGCATCGCCCAGCCCCGCCAGATGCACCCACCGCAATGAGGGGAGCGTGCGGGATGCACCAGGACGGTGACTGTCCCCCAGCTTCAGCCCCACCGGTGTCCCCCGCTTGCCCATACCTTCTGCCTCCGCTTCTCCTTTCTCTTATCTTCTGTCGCCTGCAACATTTTCTCCTTCCATAAGTTGAAGAAGTAGGAGGGATCGGTGTAGAATTTGAGGCCATCCTTTTTGTCATCCCTGGGGGGTTGGGAAGGGAGGAGAGGGGGTTGTCAGCCACAGGAGAAGACCCCTCCTTCCCGTGCACAGTGGGGTTTGGTATGATCATGGTCCTAAGCTGTTGCCCCACCATGAACCTGTCCAACAGAGCGGTCACTACCTGCAGTACCACTGCGTGGGGTCGCTCATCCCAAGTGCCCTATGCAATGGGGATAATGGCACAGTGATTGGAGAAAACAGCATCTCAGCCTTTCCCAGGCAGCAAACGAGGTGCACCCCCTCGTGCCTCTCCTGGAAAGGGGCCCCCAGAACCCCCCAGGACCCCCTCGGTCCCCCCAGGGAGCGATGTGCTGGCCATCCTACCTGTAGGGCGTGAGGATGTTGAGCGGTGGGGGCTTGTCGCAGCGCTGGTACATCTCCATCACCGGGTTGGGGATGGAGTTGCGAGACACGACCTGCTGGTTCTGCACTGTGGAGCTCTTGAAGGCTTTCCGCATGTTGATGTCCTGCAGCGAAACTGGGGGCACAGGAGAACGGATGCAGGAGTGGCCTCAGCCCCCCAAATTGGGCACAGCGGGTGGTCCGGCCCCAAGCACGTGTCTCCCACCTGCTTGCAGCCGGCCATCACCCCAAAACAGCCCCAGCCCCTCACCTTCCTCCACAGTGGAGTCCAGCTGCGTCACCTTGATGACCAGCAGGTCCACCCTCTCCTGCAGCGAGTTCATCCGCATGTAGAAACTGTTGGCCTCGTTGAAGAGCTCGCCGAAGATGTCCTCCGCGTGCCTGCCTGGCAGAGGGCAACGCACGCCCGTCACGGGCATCGGCGGCACGCAGCCCTCTCCCAGCCCATCCCCTGGACCACACACCTCCCCGCCGGCTCTGGGGGGCTCTCTCCCCAGCCTTGGTTTTTTTGGGAACTGAGCCTCATCCTCTCCCAGACGTGGCAAAGCGCTGCACGGAGGGATGGGAGCCCTTCTCCTGCCTCCTCTGTGCACGAGCATCCCTTTCAGTGAAAGCGGTACCCATGGGAGATACTGAACCATTGCGGTCCATGCCCCAAAAAGCCTTCGGATCTACCAGGACAGATGCAGCCAAAACCCAACCATCACACAACGTGACCCATGGAAACCCAGCCCTGAAGGTGGAAAACCAAGAGCAGGGCAGCAGGGAGAGTGCTACAGCAGGGAGAAGCCGTGAGTTGTTTCACTTTAGCAGGTATCTTCCTGCAGCACTCAGTGCATCACTCCGACAGCTCTTTAGCAGGGCTCTTTTCATCCCAGGGCAGAGCATTGCTGACACTTGCAGGGTACAGCACCACTCCCAGCACCCATCCGGTCCCAGCACCCAGCCCAGCGCAGGACCTAGCACAGCACAGCACCCCAGCTCCTCGGGGTTTCCTCCAAGCCCACGTATCAAACAGCTCCCGGGATGAAGGCACTTTTGATATCTGCTCAGCCTCTCACCCGCCTCGACCATTTGTATTTGATTCCTTTTCCCCTGGACAAGGTAGGAATGGTCTGAGCACCCATGGGTGCTGCTCACACCAGCTGCCACGCTCCTAGCAGCTCCCTAAATACAGGGTTGATTTCTCTGGGAATATTTTACAGAAGAATCTAGTTCTTG